ATAGAGTGTTGAAATCTAATGCAAAAGATTATGAGAATTATAAAAATAAAATTATATTATAAATAAAAATTATCATATATTATTATTATTACAGTCCATGGAAGAGGTTCTTTCCTTGCAAGATTGAGAACACAAAAACGGCCCTTTTCAGCCCCCCCATTAATATTGTTAATCCCCTATTTGGGGATGTGCCTTAGTTTCACCCAATTGCTGTTACTAATATTGATTTTCTGTTGAGATAACTTTAAATTTAAACTGTTCCAATTTAACGGCAAAAATTCCCAGTAATGAAACACCCAAGCAATGACGGGTTATACTGCTAGTTTAGACATAAATTTAACTAAACCTATTTGTAAAAATGATTTCAAATCTAGCTTAAGGCTTCTTGATATTCTTTTGTTTTATTGGTTACAGTTTAATTAAATGTGATGACTCAAACAACATCCGTTCTGGGTATGACGATAAACTACATCTGTGTCCTGGGTAAGACAATAAACTACTTCCAACGGCAAGGCCTCTGATGAGGAGGTTTTGAGGTGCATGAAACCACCTCTTAATTGCTGGTGTTCCCAGGTCCACCCTGACCTGGGTTTGTAGCACCTGTTAGGGTCCCAGCTAGGGACAAATAGTTAAACCCTAAACTTTGGTCAAAACACAGTGAAAGTGTAAAAATAGGTTTTAATACTAGAAATACTTTGTAAAATAATTATTACCAGCAATACATTCTTGAAAAAAAAAATTACCAGCAATAAATTTTTGAAAAAAAAATTACCATAAATAAATTTTTGAAGGAAAAAATATTATTAGCAATACATTTTCAAAAAAAAAAACAAAAAAAAAACACAAAATGGGGTCAAAACACTATGGAAGTGTAAAATTATGTTTTAATAATAGAAATACTATGTAAAATTTTATTACCAGCAATACATTATTACCAGCAATACATTTTGGAAAAAAAACTTACCAGCAATACACTTTTGAAAAAAAAAAAAATCTTACCAGAAATAGATTTTTGAAGGAAAAAAATATTACCAGCAATACATTTTCAAAAAAAAAAATGTTACCAGCAATGAAAATTTTGTTGGCATTAAACCATCCATTGAGGTTGATATGTCGTAAAACAAACTAAATAAAACCAAATCAAACAAAACATGATCAAATTGTCGCATTGAAAATGGCTGGTATGAAGAATTGTGAGGTGATAAAACAGTTGAATGTTTGCCGAGAAATTGTTTTTAAAGTGTGAAAAAATTTAAAGAGGAGGAAACAACCTCACAAAATCCAATTCCAGGGAAGAAATGTTCAGTTTGCACCAGGAGAATCATTGAGACCATCAAGAAGAGGGTGAAGAGAAATCCATAAAGATGTATGAGGACAATAACAAAAGAGCTGGATAGGTCACTAAGGTATGGGCTGTGAAAGAGTATTGGTAAAAACCATTCAAGATTCATCAATGACCACTGTCCTCAACTTCCTGCAAGCAAAAACCGCTTGACAATGGGAAATTTTGAAGGAGAACAGCATGCCACAGATAAAGTCTAAGTTTTGTCAGGTGAGGACATTTTTCACTATGGAGGCTATGGGCAACTGCCAAGATGATAAGGTTTACACCATTTCACCAAGAAACATTTCCAAAGTTCTCAGAACACATTTCAAGCAACAGAAACCAAACAGTATCATGGTTTGAGGTGTTGTTGCTTCAAAAGTGCCCATGGTGTTCATAAAAAAGAAGTGAGAGTGAACAAGAAAGTTTACCAGTAAATGTCAAAGAGATGTGTTGCCTTGGTTGTCAGCCATATTTGGAAGCTGCTATGTCTAATTTTAAGCTGGAGCTTTTACACACACAGTGAATCTGATGCAGAACTGGTGCAAGAGATATTTTTGTGGATTTTTTGACAAGTCAATTTAGCCTCCATCAAGTCTATGGACTTTGTGATATGCCCATATTAGAGTACAATGTTTCATTATCTTATAATCAAATGTTTCAGACATGATAGAAGCAATTACAATTCGAGTGAAGAGATGGTAAAGAAGTCGTGCATTTTACTTGAGAAAAGAAAATGTTGAAAGCACAGGATGCTCATTTTGAATTGTAAATATATGTAAATTATGGCCATTAAATATAACAATTAACCTGTAAATGTCTATTAACCAAAACCTGAAACGTTTTATTTTTATGATAAAATGAATGAAGTGTAAATGAAGTCCTGCTGTCAGATATGGCCACAAGCTACTGAGTTCTTACTTTCTAGTCTTGATAGGTTCCAAAAGCATCTCCGCGTCCTTGTGAGGGAGAAATTATTTTCCACTCTGCAACCCCTCTCTTACAGACAAGACATAGCAAGCCTCTCACTGCTCTATCGCTACTTCCATGGAAAGTGCTCAAGTGAACTACATTCTGTAATTCTGCCATTTCTACTTTCATGGCTAGAACCTGTCATACTACTCACATTGTAACAGACCATACTTATTCCCTCTGTATTCCATTGGTGAGAAATAAGTTCCGCTCAAGCAGCTTCTTACCACAAAGCATGCTCTGTGGAACTGACTCCCAAGAAGATGCTTTGCTGATCACTATAATCTTAACCTGTTCAAGTCTAGGGTTAATTGTTATCTTCCCCACCTATCTGCATAAACTGTGCCTCTTACACTATAGCATTCTACCTCGAATGGCTCTGGGGCCTTTTACAGGGTGAATGTCACAGTAATATATATATATGCATATATATAAAATGTATTGGTCTTCAACTGAATTGAATTGAGCTCTCTGGGCCACTGGTATATTTTGTATAGAAAATGTTAAAATTTCCCTTTCTCTCTGCCATGTAACACCAGCCTAGTGGTAGAATCTCTGACTGATGCCAAATCAATTGGATTTTGATTCTGGCTTGAAGCAATTGGACGTCTAGCCACTCTGATACAATGAAACAGTCTGTCTGTGGATGATAATATATATGTTTCATTGAATAATATAGATATATTGTGTTTACTTATTTTTATACTGATCCTTTCAAGTTGTCGAATCATTTTCTTGATGTTGAGATAAAATTCATCAAGGAAGGTAGCATAGTTTTTTTTTAATCCAAGTACTTTTGACCTTTTATTGTAACTGTAATAAAAGTAATTGGGTAAAAAAAAAAAACTGTAGCATCTTCCTTGATGTTTATCTTAACATCAAGAAACAGATTAGACAACTGGAAAGGATCAGTATAAAAATAAGTAGACACGATGTGTCTATATTATTCGTTGAAACATATTTGAATGAAGATATATGTATATATATATATATATATATATATATATATATATATATATATATATATATATGTATCAATGCTAAAAAAAAAAAAATTTATAAAGGCATCTCCCCTATATGATATAAACCAAAGACTGACCTCCGACAAATCATTTTTTTTAATTTCCCTTGCTTTATAAATTCTTATAAACAGCAACTGTGTCTCAGTGTTGAATATTATTCAAAGACATTGGCTTGACTTTTTCAAAGACGTTTTTTTTTTCTTTTACTTCCTTTATTCAATTTAAATATTCAAAGTGATATTCATTGTATTCTGCTAGCATTCAGCAAATTTAATTGGATTTTCTAATATAGGCCATTTCAATTATCTACTAATATTGTATTGATCAGGAACACCCTCAAAACATATTGGTTTATTTCATTTCCATTTGTTCTTGCTTTCGTTTAATTATTCTTTCTTCATTTCCTTTTTTTTTTTCCTTTCCTTCTGTTCTGCCTGATTTTCTTGCCTTTTCTTTCTTTGTCTTTTGTTTCTGCTATTCATAAACTCTTTTTTTTTCTTTCTTTATGAGTACTTTTTATTCCCTTCTTTTCTTTTGTATTACATTTTTTTTCTTTTTGTCACTACCATAATTTATGGCCATTTTTAAAAAAAATGTTTTTGCTCTTTGTCTTAAGTCTCATGACAATGACAATAACTTCTTCTTCTTCTTCTTCTTCTTTTTCCTCCTCCTCCTCCCCCTCCTCCTCCTTTAATCCTTCATTTTATTTTAGCCTTTGCTATCTTTTCTACTTTATTGTCTTTCATTTTCCTAATTTTGCTTTTTAATAATTTACTCCATATTCCGTTTTCTTTCGTTCATGTAATTCGTATAGTCCTTTATTTTTCCTTTTTAATGTAAATCATATAATTCTTCCTTTCATTCTTTATATTTTTGTGTCTTTCTTCATTTAAGTCATATCTTCTTCTTTATGTGCTGTGTCCTCTCAAGATGTAGGTGATCATGGCTCTCCACAATTTCCTGTCCCATGCAGCTCTAAATAAACTCTGTCTTTTCTTTAATTTTAAACCCTGTTCCACCATCCATTTTTACAAGCTCATCAAGTATGTTATGCAGCATTTTCCTCTGTTCCTATTGCCCTCAATCTATCCTGTGAGTAACAGATTCTCCAAGCCCTGGTTCCTCATTATGCATCCCAGGTATTTCAACTGTCTCTTCCTAAGTTCTGTTATTTTTGCTTTCTTTCATTTTTTTTTTCTATTTCATAGTTATTTTCTGTCTTTTTTTTCTTTCATATTTACTTTCTTTCTTATGTTCTTTCTTTCTTGCATCCTGGGTATGATGATAAACTACATCCAGCAGCAAGGCCTCTGATCAGGAGCATGGATTGCTGGTGTTCCCAGGTCCACCCTGATTCGAGGTGGTAGCACCTGTTAGTGTCCCAGCTATAGACCAATAGTTAACCCCCAAACTGGAGTCAAAACACTATGAATGTGTTAAAATAGGTCTTAATACCAGCAATACAGTTTTGGAAAAAAAATAATATTACCAGCAATATATTTTTGAAGAAAAATATTACCAACAATACATTTTTGAGAAAAAATATTACAAAAAATCTTGTTGACATTAAATAACTCATGGAGGTTGATATGTCATAAAACAAAACAAATCAAAACAAGCCAATTTTTCTTTCTTAATATAAACCTTATAAATATTTCTTAGGTACTTTCTTTTATTGTTAGTTTTTCTTTTTCATTTTTTCTTTCTCACTTTTTTCCTTAATGCAAACCTTACAATTTTTCTGTCTTTCTTATTGTTTTTATTTCCTTCATTTTTCTTCCCCATACTTTCTAAGGCTTCTCAATTTCTTTCTTTCATTTCTTAATTTTTCCCTCTTTTTATACTACTTTCTTTCTTTCTTTCTTTCTTTCTTTCTTAGTTACTTCCATAGTTTCTTTCTTTCCTTCATACCTTCTTTTTTTTCTTATGTTTTCTCTTTTGTTCTTTCTGTCTTATTGTTATTTCTTTAACTCTTTCTTTTAATTTTATTGTCTTTCTGTTTCTTCTATCTTTCTTTCTTTGTTCTTTTTTCTTCATGCAAACCTTATAGTTCTTTCTTTTTTTCTTAATGAAAACCTTCTAGTTCTTTTGTTTTTCTTTTTTCTTAATGAAAACCTTCTAGTTCTTTCTTTCTTTCTTCTTTTTCTTTATGGAAACCATATAGTTCTTTCTTTCTTTCTTTCTTTGATTTTCTTTCCCCATACATTCTACAGAGTGCAATGGGTAAATTGTCATCTAAATTATGCAAAAATGAAAATAACACTGACATTTCATTTTAACAGATATATTTACCAAAATTACACAAAAATATTTTGAAATATTAAAGAGTAAATTTATTCAATAAAATCACCATTGGTCTCAACCATACCCAAAAGATGACTTCAGAATCTCCTGCATCTCTTCTGGATGGTCTCCTTGTTTAACCTGGTGAATGCTGCCATAATCCTTGCCTTCAGTTCATTTTTGGTGTTACAAGAATTTTTGTTGGTCTCTTGCTCAACCACACCCTACACAATAATCAAGGGTGTTGCAATCTAGGGAGTTAGGGAGTCAGCTGTAATTGTCTGAAAGCCATGACTGAGTTTTCCTGCATGTGTGGCATTGTGCAGAGTCCTTTTGCCAGACATAGTCTTCCAGCAGCCATCCTCTTGACCCAGGGAACCACTACCTCCTCAATGCACTTAAGTCTAAGGCCCGGTGGGAAGATGAATGGAGGCATAACATCACCATCAATAGTGATCACTCCAACCACTATGATATTACCATCCAACTCTTTCTGAATCCTCTGCACTGTCTTCAGATTGACACTCATACACTCTGAAATGTTTGTATTGGAACATCTGGTATGAATGCCAAGCAGTACAGCATAATTTTTCCAAATTCCCAGTAGAGTGAATTGCATCATGGTGCTCTTTTTCTTACAGATGGTACCCAACTGACCCGACTATACTGTGCAGTCAACAAAATTAAAACAAACAAAGCACCTGCACAAAATAAAAAATAAAAATGGCAACAATTTACAAAATCAAACCCTCTACTTTTCAATTTAGTTTTTTCATTACTTAATTTTTTCCTTCCTCTTCTTTTTCTTTTACTTATATTTAGTGTCTTTGATCTCTGAAATAAAATCATAATAAATTCAACATTGGTGTGAAAGAGGACTCCTGCTCTAATTAAATATCCAATCAAAAGCATAAGTAAGCCATTAACGATAACATTATCAATGATGAAGACAGGTATTGTCAGCTAGCTGTGTCGGCCATTGTATTAATGTTAGCACCAAAAACTACAAGGACTTTAATTCTTAATTCTAAGGTTGACCATAATTTCAATAGCAACAATGATTCTGTCCTCTTTCATTTTGCATGTATCCATTGCTGTTAAAAATGTGACACATGACATCTTTATTCTGTTTCCTAGAAATGCCTACAACATCTCAATATTTACTACGGACATCAGGGACTTCTCTGGTACAAATCTCTTTATGATGGTTCTCAAAGAAGAACAAAAATTGAACTTCATGAAGAATTGTGACAGCAAGTCAAAATTTGAGTGATATTTCGCAAAAGTCATAGCTGTGGAAAAACTGAAAACTCATAGGAGATATCATAAGATTTCTTTTATCCTAACATCACATAACTGAAATCATGATAGTGTTGTTAGCCATGTAACACATAAGTAAATATACTCTATAAAAACAACTGATCTTTGAAGATAGTCATTACATTTGCAGAAAATTGTATTTCTCACAACCTTGTGAATTTGATCCTCACTAAGTGCCCCATAGAAAATCTGATATTCAGTCCTCCATAGTCTTTTGAACAGGAGTATAGGTTTATCCTTTGTTTGCTGTTTAGGATTAGGTTTCTGGTTCCTTCTAAAATCTTTTCTTGCTTGGGGTGAATTGATTAAGAAAAAAAATAACCTGACAAAGATTGACATGTCATAAAATCAGCCAACCAAACACTGGGTAATGTTTAGTGAGGCTAGTCTAATCAGACCATTATTACTGAGTATTGAAATTGATCCTCACTGAGTACCCCATAAAAACTTGAAAATTAAATAATCCCATATGTATTGACATGTTGCAAAATCAGCTACCCAAAACAATGGTAGCTAGGCTAGTCTCATTGACCATTACTACTGAATAGTGAGTTTGATCCTCACTGGGTGCCCCATACAAAATTAGACATTAAATAACTCACAAATGCGAACATGTTGTAAACTCAACTAACCTAACATTAGATTTAGTAGGAATTCTGCCCTCGTAATAGTTTGAGCACTCAGCAGCTACTAATATGTACATGCCTCAGAGTTGACCTTTAATACTGAATGGGGAATTTGATCCACACTAGGTGTCCCATAAAAATTCAATATTTATTCAATGTAGCAAAAATCAACCAACATAACTTAGTCTTTAGCACAAATTCATAATGATTGACCAAACGATGATTTTGTTTGTTATAAAAATCTTTGTTGATTTATTCCTTCAACATTAAGTGACTTTGATCCACACTAGGTGTCGCATACAAAATTGTTTGCTATGAAAATTGTGTGCTTATTTTTATATTGATCATAACTCTTTTCTTTAAAAAGCAAGTCTTTAACAACAACAAAAAAAAAAAAATGTTACATATTGTATGACCCATATAGGTTGGAGTTTAAAGGTTATTATTCTTTGATCATTTGTATGGTTGTGTTAAGATAAACATCAAGTTTGTAAAATCTTCTTTCTTCTTTTATATGCTGTGCTCCTTCAGGGTGTAGGCAATTATGGCTCTCCATAATTTCCTGTCTTACTTTGCTCTAGGTAACTTCTGACTGTTTACTGCAATTCATTAATACAAATCTGCAAGGTTACTCATTGTTTCCCTTTGCTTTTCTTGCTTTTGAGTATGACCAGTGAGTGTTAAATTTTCTAAGCCTTCTTTCCTCATTATGTATCCCTGAAATAACTACTGACTTTTTCTGACTGTAAGTATAAATGTCTTCTCAGTTAATATTTTCCTTAAAACTTTCTTGTTCATAAATTTGATCTATGGTATTCTCAGTATTAATTAGTAGAAGCATATTTCTACCAATTCAAATCTCTGTGAGTAGATTGTTCAGCATTCACTGCCATATAAAAGATTAAATTTTATATACCAGTTCAGCACTCTTTCCTTTGTTTCTAATGAAATTGTCCTATCTCTTAATACTTCCCTTAGTTTTAAACAGTCCAAGATATGAGCTATGTAATAAGAATGTCAAAATCAGGTAGGTACAGAAATGTAACATTTTCTTTTTTAATCAGGTTCACTAAAGCCACTAAGACACAAGGGGTTACTGGATGTGGAAGAGATAGAAACAAACATTACTAAGGAGTGAGAACAAAAGAAGTGTAATCAGAAGGACAGTAGATAGACATCACCATTGCATTTACATTTTTGAAGATTAAAGTTGGATGGAAAGCATGGAGCCATAAGGGAGTTTCACAAGATGGAGAGTATTAACAAACAATGGAAAATATGATACAGAAATGCAAAGGTATACTTTAATGGTGAAGGTGGTTCTGGAGCTAGTTATGATTAGTCAGGACTAACTATTAACTGTAAGAAGAGAGAAGGCATAGCATTTGCAGTTGAGGACTAGCATTGTTATAGAGTAAAATCACTTCTGCTCTGCCCAGAAAATGATCATTGCTTTTCAAATGTGTCATTCAAACCAACCAATTGATCACTAATAATTGTCTGTTTATCTAGGTCTTGGTAATTTATAATGAATTATTCCCTTTTAAACCTACTAAGAAGAGAAAGAAAGTTTTATTCTATTCAAATGCTGTTTAGATTAAGATGTTGAAGGAGATTCTGTAACCAGCCATGATTTTCTTTATACTGGATACTTTTAATGGATTCAACTTTTCATATCTACTTAGTAGGAATTCTGCCCTCGTAATAGTTTGAGCACTCAGTAGCTACTAATATGTACACGCCTCAGGGTTGACCTTTAATACTGAATAGGGAATTTGTTCTTGTCTCAAAATAACTTCTTTCTGTGTCAAGCAAAAAGACAACTGGGCAAACTTGGACCTTTGTGCCCTCAAAAAACTGAGTGTCAAAAAGACGGTTTTTCCATTAACACCACCATTATTTTAACTACCTTCACTCAGCACCAATGTTTATTGTTTTAAAAGTGATGACTAGAATTGTAATAAAAGCTAAACATTTGAAAGTAATTTATAAATTTTCTTTATCCTTGAGAATTGAGAACAAAAATAAACACTTTTTATTTATTGGATTCTTTATTTACACTCATGGTTGTCAAAACATTGGCTAATTGCCAATTGATTCAAGTTTTATAAAATGGTAAAGAATAAGGATTTCTTTATAATTGTTCACATATTTTAAAAATTCAAAGGCACTCATAGGATTTTCTTTTTATTATTCAAATGATGCAGCTGGAAACTTTTGCATCAACTTAATAATAGTTATGGCAAAGATAGTGAAGAATGTCAAAGGCGATGAAAAGAGTTATTTTTAAGGAACAGGAACAAGATGCACAAGTTATGATTTATCTATAGTTAATAATGATATTAACTGTAAAGAAGGCATCTTTGGAGACAAATCAAGATTTTTTTTTGTTGATAGACAGAATTTAAGAATTATGTCAGGGTTAGGTCAGCTATGCTGAACTAAGTAACAGAATTATGTACCTTAAAGAGATGAGAGAGTACATCATATTCATTCACCCATGACTGGCACAAACAATACTGTTTACAGGAGATGTGACTGGAGATTTTGACTTGGCTTGGATGAAATGCTGCCAAAATGTCTGAAAGAATTAAAGACACACAGACAAAAGAACAGAGAGAAATTAAAGAAAAGAAGCAATTCTGGTATGAAAGAACTTGTGAAAGAAAAGACAAGTTTGAAAAGATTTGAAAAGAGAAAAAAAGAATAAGAAAAGAGAAATAATACATAATTATAATAATGTAATAATTATAATTATTATTGTTATACTAAATACAATGATAATGACTTCAACTTTTTAGAAGAATAATATAGGAGGATGAGGTGTAGAAGGAGGAGGAAAAAAGAGGATGAGAAGAAGAAGGAAGAGGAAGCAGATGAGGAGAAGAAAAAGGAAGGAGGAGAAAGAAGAGGAAACAGATGAGAAGAAGAAAAAGGATGATGAAGAAGGAAGAGAAAGCAGATGAGGAGAATAAAAAGGAAGAAGAAGGAAGAGTAGGCAGATATGAGAAGAAGAAAAAAGAAGGAAGAGGAAGCATATGAGGAGGAGAAAATGGAAGAGGGAGCAGATGAGAAGAAGAAAAATGAAGGAAAAGTAGGAAGAAGAAGTAGATGATAATAATAAAAAGGAAGGAGAAGGAAGAGGAAGCAGATAAGAAGAATAAAAAGAAAGGAAGAGGGAGCAGATGAGAAGAAGAAAAAGGAAGTAGAAGAATGAAGAGGAAGCAGATGAGAAGAAGAAAAATGTAGCAGAAGATGAAAAAGGAAGAAAAAGAAGAAAGAGTAAGTAGATGAGGAGAAGAAAAAAGAAGGAGAAGAAGAAGGAAGGAGAAGAAGAAGGAAAGGGAAGCAGATGAGGGGAATAAAAAGCAAGGAGAAAAGGAAGGAAGCGGAAGCAGATGAGAAGAAAAAAAGAAAGAGAAGAGGAAAAATATGTGGAGAAGAAAAAGTAAGGAGAAGAATGAAGAAGCAGATGAGAATAAAAAGGAAGGAGAAGAAGTATGAGAAAGCAGATGAGAAGAAGAAAAAGGAAGGAAAAGAAGAAAAAATAAGTAGATGAGGAGAAGAAAAAGAAAGAAGAAGAATGAAGAGGAAGCAGATCAAGAGAAGAAATAAGAAGAAAAGAGAGAAAGCATATCAGGAGAAGGAAAAAGGAGGAATAAAAATTTGAGAACAGCATGTGGAGAAGAAAAAGAGGAGAGGTGGGGAAAAGAAGTGGTAAGAAGAAGAAGAAGAAGAAGAAGAAGAAGAAGAAGAAGAAGAAGGAGGAGGAGGAGGAGGAGGAGGAGGAGAAGAAGAAGAAGAAGAAGAAGAAGAAGAAGAAGTTATGAAAAAGAGAAAATAAACAGACCAAGAAGTGGAAATCAATTTTTTTCTTGTGATGCAGTGAGTTGTGTAAAGCGATCATTTTAACACTGATCCCAATCAGTGAACTGATGAATGTCAGTACAGATTAAGAAGATATTTTGGTTTTAGTGATTTGTGCAACATCTTTTTATTTGTTTTTTTGTCTTTCTTCCTTTTCACATGAGAATATACATTAATGGAGAGTACTTTTATTGGTAGCAAATGGTGTAATTATGAAGAATAAATAGAAAAGAAAAAGGAGCAAAAACTATGAGAATTTGAAAAAGAGAAGGATGGAAATAATTATTAAAATAAGCATTGTCTGGCAGAAGGTCATAGTAATGGGGAGTATCCATTGAGGATCAAATTCAATATGCTGACAAATTAGTTCATAAGACAAGATTGTTAACAATAGCATAGTACATGTCTAAGAAAGAATTATAGCAAAGAAAGAAACAAGAAAAATTACAAATAAATAACTTAGATTAAAAGAATAAAATATTTATTTGAAAACAAAATCAAAGGAAAAATGTTTTAAAACTTGTTTCCTTGTAGGTTGCAATCATTATTGGTGGCCACAATCTTAACAATGTAAGATATTTAGATGACACATTATTGATAGTAGACATAGAAAGGAAACAACAAGAATTCCTACAGAAAGTAGTGAAGAGAAGCAATAAGAAAGGACTTGAGAATACCAGGTGCTGTAAGCTTGGATGTGCAGTTGGTGAAATGGATAATGGCTCGAAAAGGCGAGTTCCAATTCCAGTTGGTTTCATTATATTCACTTACGTGCAAATATCCTTAGGAAAAGGAGAAAGCCACCTCTTCTCCCCCCAGACATGGGTTAATCAGTAAGACTAAGATCAGCAAATCATTATTATCTCAAAAAAACTCTAAAAATATTTTCTGGCTTTAAATAACCTGGAAAAAGTTGATAAATCATCATCAAACATTGTATGTGTATATATATATATATATATATATATATGAGTGTGTGTGTGTGTGTGTGTTTGTGTGTGTGTGTGTGTGTGTGTGTGTGACCCTTATAGGGAGTAAAAGAAGACATGAAAACTTTAGTGAGGAGAAGTAAGTAAAAGGACAACAATGGAACAGGTTTCGGGAAGACAAAAAATAATTACCATTGCATTTAAATTTTTGAAAATTGTAGGTCGCATGGAAGCAAGTAATCAAAAGGGAGTTCCACAGGCAAGAAGTGCAAAAACAATTATTAAAATAAAACTGGTGGATACATCTAGCTAGTCAAACAGTAGAAAATTAAGACCTAGTTGCCAATCTAGCAGCACATTTAAATTCATGCATTTGAGACACTGAGGAGAAAAGCTCATCAGACCAATGGCCATGAAAATATTTGTAGAAAAGACAGAGGGAAGTCATATCATGTCGGTGAAGAATGGATTACAGACCTTGTTTTGAATTTTGTCAAGAATCCTAAGATATATTGCAAGAGCACCAAACCAGATATGTCAATAGTATTCAATGCGTGGGTTTATAAATGTGCAAAAAGGATTTTGATGAGAAGAATTGTCTTGCACAACACAGTGAAACAACTTTCCTAGCATAATCCTAGCAACTGATTCAATATAATCACTCCACCATGTCAGTGGAAAATGCAAGGCCAAGAAGATGCAGAGTGTTGCTCTGCTGGAGTCCTAATAGCACAAAAGATTCTCTGTGTTAAATGAAAGAAGCTTTGTTTTGGAGGTGTTAAAATATACAAGTCATTCCTTGCCCTAGTTAACCACTGAACAGAGGTTCTTTTTGAGAGCAGTTGCTAGTTTTACTTTATCAGATTTGTTGGACTTGCTACTAAGACTGGAGTAAATACAGATATATAGATAGGTGCATATACAGATGAATGCACATAGATATAGACCACCCAAGTTTTATTAAAGTTACTTAAGAGCTAGAGATAAAAATGACTGCTTAAGAACATTAAAATGTTTGAAAATGCCAGTAATTTTAATGATACACAAACTACAAAACTTATTCCTCATGAGAGAAGTTATTTTATAACAGCCAAATCCTCATGGAAAGATATGCTTCTTGATAGTATGAAGAAAAATGATGATTGCTCTATAAAATGATAAGATGATTGCCTTGTAGTTCAGATCTCTTATAAAAACAATAAAGTGTCCAAATAATTAAAGAAAATTATATTTTTGGCTGAAAATAAGAGTTGTTGATGGTCTTGTAAGATTTTAAGATTCTTTGGCATATATCTTGCCTGGATCCTGTGCTAACTTTTTTTTAATGCTTTTTTTCATTACCAGAATTTGGTTAAAAACAATCTATATTCTTACGAGTAGTTTTATCAGTTGTCAAGATTTGTATTTTACTGCTAAACATCTCATCCTATTACTGTATCTATCACTTTATCTATTTATCTCAGTTTGTTCATATCTATCTATATATCTATCAGGCTATTCATATATTGATAAATCTATCAGATCAGTCACAGTCTATTCATAGCTCTCTATCTATTAGTCTTAGTCTATACATATCTATCAGTATCAGTCTCTCTCTCTCTCTCTCTCTCTCTCTCTCTCTCTATATATATATATATATATATATATATATATATATATATATATATATATATATATATTTTTCTCTCTATCTCAGCCAATTCAGATATATCTATCCCAGTCTATTCATATCTATCTATTGATCTATTTATCCCAGTCTATTCATATCTGTCTATGTATCTATCTCAGTCTATATATCCAAGTCTATTTATATCTACCTATCTCAGTCTATTCATATTTATCTATCTATCTCATTATATTCATATCTATTTATATCTTTATATCTATCCAGGTCTATTCATATCTATCTGTCACAATCTATTCATATCAATTTATCCCTGTCTATTTGTATCTATCCTAGTCTGTTCATATCTATCACAGTCTTTTTATATTTATTATCTATCCCAGTATTTCATATCTATCTATCCAAGTCTATTTCTATCTCTCAGTCAAAATAAGTCTGTTTCTATCTATCTATCTATCTATCTATCTATCTATCTATCTATCTATCTGTCTGTACCATTTGTTATTATCTCTCTATCCCACTCTATTTGTATGTATCTATCTACCTATCTCAGCCTATTATTCATATCTATCTTTCTATCCCAGGCTATATTTCTCTCCCAGTCTTTTCATTATCTATATATCCTAATCTAATTCAGTCTATTCATATCTATCTATCCCAGTCTGTTTGTCTATCCCAAGCTGTCTGTCTGTCTATCTATCTATCCCATATATATATATCCTATATTTGTATCTATATACCAGTCTATGCTTATTTATGCGTCTATCTATCTACCTATTCTATTCATATCTATCCATCTATCTATACCAGTCTATTCATATCTGTCTATTTATCTATCTACCTACCAATTCTATTCATATCTAGCTATCTATTCAAGTTTGTATATTAGTCTATATATGTATATTTATATCTATCTATCTTAACTATCTATCCCAGTATATTTGTATTTATCATTTTTTCTCAAACTATTAATTTATATCTATCCCAGTCTACACTAGTCTAACTTTTTCTCCCAGTTTATTTGTATCTATCTACCATAATATATGGGTATCTATCTATCTATCTATCTATCTATCTATCTATCTATCTATCTATCTATACTGTTAGATTTTATGAAGAAATCAATGTTTTTCAATAAAATTAGTATTAGTCAACTTATATATATATATATATATATATATATATATATATTCATTGTGCAGGCAAATACTATATACCTGAATTTGCATGTATGCAATTAGAGAAATGTTATTGTACATGTATACACACATATGCAATTTCAAATTGTAGTATATGTATGACTAATCTTTCTATTCTTTTCTTTACACACACACACACACACACACACACACACACACACACACACATGCACAGACATATATCTGTGTGTGTGTATGAGGTGGCATGTAAAAGTTTAGCATTTGACTAAGGATGGCTTTGAAAAACAATTCTGATATTTGGTCTGATTTTGAGAATTTGCCTAATCAGTGCATCCATAAAGTATGACACTAAACATATTTTAACTGCTAGGGAAGCTTCATTTATATGGCAATGATATTAGATAATAATAATTTGTAACATTTAAGTTTTAGCAGGTAAAAACAAAACAAATTCAGTGAGTACACAAAAATAGAAAGAACTGTAAGAGAAGAATGTAATGATTCTTACTGGTTTTATTTAAACTATAAAGCAAGGAGATCCTAAGAGAACTAGAAGACCAACCAGGATTTATTATCAGTGAACATAATCTCAACAACATAAGATGACACTGTAAAGATGGCAAACTCAGAAGGAAAACTGAACAAACTCTTATACAAGGTAGTTGTTGTAGAGTAGTTAGCAGCCTTTCAGCACTCTTCCAGATGGTCTGGTTCATAGCCTTAAATCGTCTACAATTAAGGACTTCAACAATTAGTCGATTAATAAGATGATACTAAGCTGATGAATATTCAGACTGATCTTACTTCATTTGGCTATACAGCATTTGACCCTCCTCTATTCCTTGTAAGTTGTCTTGTTAATTGTTTTTTAACTTATTGTTCTGTGTTTATTTGTATGTGTCCATCAGCACTGGATACTGGTGCTAATTAAATATATTAAGCACTCATTCTTCTCTGTGTATCATTCACCTCAATGATACAACAGTATTAAAGAAAAGCAAGAAGAAAAGACTAACTATAAATATGTGTGAGTTTTTTTGTTTTTTTACTAATGTTCACCCAAAACAAGGCCCAAGAACTGATTACTGAAAAAGGTTGTCGTAGGAGTAAATGGTCCACTTGCATTCACTTTGCACTAACACACTGGGAAAAGACATGAATATCACTCCCTCCAGATATAGGTTAAATAGCAGTGCAGCCTTTGGTCTCTTGCATTGAATGTCAATGAAGAGTTGCGGCAAATGTCTCAGCTCTACCAATAAATTCTGATATTTCTTTATTTTGTCAGGTTTTGGAAAGACGGCTGAACTAAGAATCTATCAACACTATAAACATATATATAGGCATGGTGGAGTAATGGATAGCTGCTTGGATTAAGGAATCAGAGAGCCGAGTTCGAATTCCAATTGAATCCATTGCATTCACTTACATGCTAATACCCTTGGAATCCTCTTCTTTTCCCTTCAGCTATGGGTAAATAGCAGGACAGACTGGATTCTATAGCCTGGGATAGCAACTGGTCTAGGAGAAGGACAACTCTGAATTCAAAACCTGCAGAGGGTCGTTTGGAGACCTTGTGGCATGTAATGCACCAGGTCTCTGTATTCGGCCCTTCAAAAAGTGTGGATGGTCCTGCACGAAACCATCACCACTATAATCAAATCTCATGTGCTGTTGTCGGGCTGTCGGTTTCCTAGGAACTGATCTGCTTGACCCTCATAGGTCAAATTCAACAGGAGAGTCGAGTATATAAAATACAATATATAAAATATACTTTTATTTCATTGTTTTCCCATGACTTTAAATGCTGAATTTTACATATATATATAGATAGATATCATCTATATGGAAACCTGTTTCACTGTATCACAGCTCATCAGTGTGCCTAGATATCCAATTGTTTCAAGGCAGGATCAAAACTCGATCGATTTGGCATCAGTCTGAAACTCTACACTTAAGCTATCAGCACACAGCAGAGAAAGGGAATCATTTAGTGTATTATATACGTGATGTACATCAACGCCAAATCAGAAGCCATAGTGCTCAATTCAATTTATGAATATCAATGGGTATATATATATATATATATATATATATATATATCCATGAACTTTTACATATATCTACCAATGATTTTCTGTAGATTTTGATGTTTTTCTGTGACTTAAATTTTCATAAGATATGTGGTTTATTTGTGGCTAGCCGCACAAACATCAGGCAGTTGAAAAGGACAGGAAACTCAATTTTGAATTTTATATATACATATATATACATATATATATATATATATATATATATATATATATATATATATATATATATATATATATATATATATATATATATGAATTTTTACATATATGTGCCAATGATTTTCCAAAATGAATACATATATTTATTGATATGTGCATTGTATTTTTAAAGTTAACACTCACACATAAACACCCAGAATATGTCTCTATCTACATATTTGGAGAAATATGAGAACAGTACTTCATTTTAGGCCTGATCTGGCTTGTAAAGGTAGAGGAATCAAGTACTTACAACCATTTTTCCTGCATCTTTAGTGAGGGATCATATACAGTCTGGGGTGAGTTTAAGGTCTAATAGTTAGTCAAGGTGACATCGTGACTAGTGGTAGTTTGTTGTCTGATTGGCAGTGATGGTATGTAACTAGTTTGGTTTTTGAGGTATTGAATGTAGCCAGTCATGGAGATGTTAGAGCTAGATCAGATGAGAGATCAGCTACCAATCTCTGGTCATCACAATATATCTCAATTTATATCAATAGTTATTTGGTATCAATATATATATATATATATATATATATATATATATATATATATATATATATATAGAGAGAGAGAGAGAGAGAGAGAGAGAGAGAGAGTAAGGAGAGAGAGATCAATATATATAGATATCTGATATGAATATATATATATGTTTGGTATCAGTGTATATACATAAATATATATCAATATATATATAAATACATATCGAGAAAAATTTTACATCAATATATATATTTATATATATAGGGAGAGAGAGATAGCTCAATACGTATAGATAGATATATGATATCAATATATGTGTATATATTTATGTATATATAAATACATATTGATGTTTGGTATCAGTGTAGATACATATATATCAATATATATAAATACATATCGATAGAAATTTTGCATCAATATATATATATATATATATATATATATATATATATCAATACATATAGACAGATATTTGGCATCAATTTATATATATATATATATATATATATATATATGTCTCAAACATATGGATAGATAGATATTTGGCATCAATGTATATCTAAGTATTGCCATATAATTATGTGAATGTTTAAGTGCACATTGTCATTAACACATTTTGAAATGCATTATTTGTTAAACTTGCACAAAGCATATAATATCTACCTCATTATATTTTATTCAAATAAATCCATTTACATACGTTTATTCACATTTTGGCAGCCGCCTCTCTGTGTACATGTAAGCATCCTATATCTATGTACATATCTACATGTAAATAATTATAAGTCTTGATACTCTGTCATTAAAGTTCTTTTTATTCTTTCTTCTTCTTGAGGAGTTCTACTTCATTTTGTTATGATTCCTTGAACAAATCATCAACATATTTCCTTAAATGTGGATTCTCGGAATGAATTCCTTGTCTTTATCGTTTTTTTATTTATTTCTTCCTTCCTGATTCCCTTGCTAATTTCAACCAAAATTATATCTCAAATACCTACGTACCTACCTACATACCTACTTAGATTCATGAATGTAGATATATGTAAATTGAAATAATTACAGGCTTTAAAGTGTTCGTTATCCTCTCTCTTCTCTCTCTCTCTCTCTCTCTTGTTTACATAAAAAGGCTTTTTCTGATTTCAACGCATTTGATGAATCTGGTGTTCTTGAGTTATTTGCTAAATTTTCACCAAAAAATTCTCAAATAATTCCTGCTTTATTTGCTGAAAAAAGATTTACATGCAGAGGATCTGAAGAATTTCAAAGTAAACTAAATTCTTTCTTTCTCATTTTTTATTATTATTTTAATTTTCTCTGTTCATTTTTTCTATTTCATTTCATTTCATTCTTTTACCAGTTTCCAAACTTTTCATGTAATCACTCTATATGTATTTCTTCTTTCTGTTTATTTCCTCTTATATTCATTGTCTTTCTTTATCCCTACATTCTTTAATCTTTTTATTCTTCCTTTCTTTACTTCTAAATTCATTTTCTTTACTTTTTACACACTTTTCCTGATTTCATTCACTCTCCTCTTAAATGATTATTCTTTTGCCTTCTTACCATTTCTTTTTCAGTTTTAAGCGTGAATTCTTTCTTTCTTTCCATGAACTTGGCATCTATTTTTTTTTGTCTTGATCTTTCTTTCTTTTTTCTATGTGATTGATATGTCTAGTTTTAGTTGTAATCTTTCTTTATCTTTGTTTGTTTGTTGTTTCTTTCTTTCTTTCTTTGCATGTACTTATTATCTACTTTTTAGTCTTGATCTTTCTTTTTTCATGTGCTTGGCATCTCTATTTTTAGTTTTAATCTCTCTTTTTTTCTTTCTTTCTTTCTTTCATTTTTCATCTCTTTATTATTTTTTTTATTCTTTTCTGGTTTTTTTTTAAATTTGCCTCCAGTTTCATTCTCTTTTCATTCAATCTCTTTATTGCTTCCATCATCTCGTTTGTTTGTTTCTTTATTTCCTTCTTCGTTTCATTTTTACATTAACTTCATTCTTTTCTTTTTTCAATAAGTCTTTTTGGTTTCCTTTACTTCATTCTGTTTCAGTTTAAGAATAAAAAAAATCCTTTTACTCTTCTGAAGACTATTGCAGAAGTTACACTTGAAATAAGTGTCACTCTGAAATCAATAGATTAAATTCTTCAACATTTGCTAATGGGATTGAACACTGGATTAGAAAGACTGATGAATTCTGATCATGGTTTTAATTCATTCCCAATAAACCAGATCTTTTTGAAAAAATGTCATCATATTTTACTATGGTTGATTGCCAACTGAATAAAAAAAATTGTACTCAAGCAGAATAAAGCCGTTGGGTGAATTTTTAAGAGGAATGATTAAATCATTAGCTACAAATAAACTTCATATTGGGTTTGCAGATTGCAAGACATCTGCTTTGAAAAAAGTGTTCAAAATTAACATATAAAGAATTTTTGCGCCCATATATATATATATATATATATATATATATATATATATATATATATATATATATATATATATATAAATAACATCAAATATCTCTATTTATTTAAGAAAAAAAAAGAGAAATGCAGGTGGATACAAGGCCTATAAATATATGAAAATAAAAATTATTATTTTTACAATGAGTCATACGATGAAAACAACTTCAAATTTTGGCAAATATTCTCAGGTTTTTCATTATATATATATATACATTCATTTTCAGGAAGGGATTTTGAAAATAGATAAAACCATAAATTTAAGTATTAACAACAGGAAAATTAACAGAAAATTAACCATTAATAAAAAGAAAAAAGCTAGATTATATTTAGCTTTTGCTTGCATAAAATTAAATCATTTAATAACTTGTTCTTACCAGTTTTATGCTCACACATATGTGCATACACAAGGCCAGCATGTACTACTCTAAAACCCATGACAGGGTTGGGTCACAACTGATTGTGGGTCCTGGGAAGTACTTTGTGGCCCTCACTATCATATCAACATTTGTTTTTGTTTTTTTCTACCTACATTTATATATATTACAGATTAAATTAAGCACATCTGACAATTAAAAGATGAAAAATTTATACTGATTTTGTCATTATTCTGGGGTCTTATTTTTTTCATCAAAATCCATGAATTTCTTTTGCTTAGGCAAAGCCTAAAAATAACATTATATAAAATTCATTAATTTTTGTCTATAATGTTGAATGTGTTAAAATTCAACATTTAACAAATTCTGACAAAAAATGATCTATTATGACATGTCCCTACTTTGTATTTGGATACATTGTATTTATTTTAAATTTTTCTAGTTGAATTGTTCACCTATATTGCATTTGATATATTCTTGAAGATAATTACATTACAAAATTTGTATTCTATATGAATAATACTTTATGAAAATTGAGATGTAGTAGAGTAGTTGGGACTAGAACATAGATTCAGAGTAGTATCCTGAATTCAGGGGTTGCAGGAATCATCAAACCCTTGCACTAGCCATCATCTATCTATCTATCTATCTATCTATCTATCTATATATATATATATATATATATATATATATATATATATATATATATATATATATATATATATATATATATATATATATATATATATATATATATATATATATATATATATATATATATATATAGATGGATAGATATCAAATTAAAAACAAAATTTTGTCCTTTTTCTATCTATCATTTATCAAGGTCAGTCTTTTCATATCCATCAATCTATCTATCTATCCCAGTCTGTTCATTTATCCAGGTCAGTCTGTATCTATCTATCTATCGTTCCATCACGGTCTTTCCATTTATCAAGGTCAGTCTTTTTATATCTATCAATCTATCTATCTATCCCAGTCTGTTCATTTATCCAGGTCAGTCTGTATCTATCTATCTATCGTTCCATCACAGTCTTTCCATTTATCAAGGTCAGTCTTTTTCTTTCTTTGCATCTATCTATCTATCTATCTATCTATCTATCTATCTATCTATCTATCTATCTAATGTGTGTGCATTTGTATGCTTGATTATAAAAAGTGCTTTTTCAAAATCTGAAAAATGTCTCAACCGATAACAGAAAGTGTGACTCAGAAATCTGAAATTACTTTGAAATATAGAAAGATATCTTCCAAAAGCCAAGTAAAGTATTAAAAAACAGGAAATTTTTTTTATTAAAAACAAAGAAAAGAGTGCTTCATTGTTATGTAATATCAGTCTTCCTATATGGCAGATATAGATGAAGAAGAGACTTAAGGCAACAGAAATGTGTTCCCAAAAAAGGGATGCTGAGAACAACATGGTGGACTGAACAACTAAGAAGTTTAGGGGAAAATGGGAAGAAAAGGGACACTTATACACAGTTGACATGTCTTTGGATATATAATGAGGAAAGAAAGCTTAGAGAATTTGACATTCACAGACATATTGAAATCCATAGGAAATGAGTCAAACAGCAAGTAACCTAACCTTAGAAAGTGAGTGAGAAAGATAATAAAAAAACAAATATTGCTAAGTGCTACAAATAGAAAGTTGTGGAGAGCCATGATTGCTCATGCCCTGAAGGGACACACTACACAGAAGAATATAGGATTAAAAAGTAAATTTTTAATTACTTGGAATATTTTTCATGTGATGCCATCTGTACCGGCAGTCACCATGAATCATTGCTTTTTACTACTTTCATCATTTCTACAAATTGTCTTAAATCATTTTCTCATTCACTGCCAGAGTAAGAAGTCTCAGGATAAAGAACTCTCAAGCAGTCAAAGTTAGAGAGTTCTTCATGTCAAATTAAGATTGTCTAATTCAGCAAACCTTACAGTTTAATATAGATTACTGGAAATCTCCAAACTGCTTCAGGATTCTCATCATTATTCCTGTAGGGCCAGATTACACAGTGCCCTAGGCCAACCCAACAATGTACACTCACTTCCCCTTGCCAATAAGTTTTGATGAGATAATTACACCAAATTATGGTAGATTATTCAGATGACTGCAATATGCCAATTGGCACTCCCTAAGCAATTCCTTTTATAAGGATTTTAGCACCTGAGGCAATTTATTGCCCCAGGCAATCTGCTAGTTCATCTAGTGCACAGTGCTTGTTCTGTAGTTTTGTCATATGAAATCACAGTCTTTATTTCAATTTAAATTTGGCCTTGTCTTTTTCCATGGGAATAAATAGAATTCTTCTATCTATAGATTTTGTTTCTTCCTCCTAATGTTCTTTTCTTTTCTTTCACAACTAAAATAACACAAAATAATCTCATGTAATTTTTATGCTGCTAGACAAGGTAGTAAAGGAAGGCAAGAAGAAAGAACTAACTGTCAATTTTTAGAAGACAGTAGTCAACAACAAACAAATACAGAAATTTAAATCTTGACTTGGCATCTCGACTTCAGTCACTTTCTCACCGACATGACATAGCTTTCCTCTGTCTTTTCTACAAATATTCTCATGGCTACTGCTTTGACAATCTTTTTTCCCTCATAGCTAGACTACATGAGTTGAAGCATGCTAATAGATTGGTATCTAAGTCCCACCCTTTTACTGTTGAATAAGGTAACTGTAACCTCCACTTCTGCTTCAGCAGTTTCTCTTCTCACACTTCCCAACTGTGGTACTCCCTTCCATTTCCTTGTTTCCCTGATATCTTAAATTTAAGTTCAATGTCAGTTGCCATTTTCTATCTTCTTGAACCCAGTACAGCTTTTATCCTTTCCTCAGTCCCTATTAAAACCAGACTTTTCTCTCACATTCACTCTCAGTAACCCCCTGCATACTAGTGGCATTCCTATATTGCTTGTGATGAAATGATTAAAAAATATATATATAGGAAACATTTTAACAGGGAATGGTAAATGTGACACTAAAATCTAAATGTTCATTAAAGTAGGGAAAGATGTCTTCCAGAATCTAAGCGAATTATTAAGAAGCAGGTAAGTTTTATTAGAAACAAAGAAAAGAGTGCTGGAGTGTTATGTAACACAAGTCCTGGACAATCTTCTCGTAGTTTAGGAGAAGACTTGAGGCAGTAGAAATGTAGTTCTAAAAAAGAATACTGAAAATACCTGAACATGTGAGCAACAAGTAAGTTTTAAGAAAAATGGAAACAAAAAGGACACTTATATTCAAGATCAGAAACAGACAGCTGAAATTTCTAGGACACAATGAGAAAACAAGGATTAGAGAACATATCAATGGTAAAAAGGGACAAGGGAAGACTGTGGGCTAACTATCTGAAGAACTTGTATGAATAAATGGTGGAACAAGTGGCAGAAGTTTTGGTAAAGGGACTAACTTTGTTAACATCTACAAGGAATAGGAGGTTGTGGAGACTCATGATTGCACATGAGAAATTGAAGAAAATTTAAAAAAAACGAAAAAAATGAAAGCAATCGTTTTTTTTTAATCATGTCATCCCAAGCAAGGTAATAATGCCACTAGAACACAAGGGGCTACTGAATGTGAAAGAAAATAAGAAGACCTTAGTGAGGAGAAAGGACAATAAAAGAATGATTCAAAAAGATTGAAGATAGTAACTGATGTTGCATTTAAGATTTTCAAGATTGTAGGTGGCAGGAAAGCAAGAAACCAGCTGAGAATTCCACAAATGAGAAGTATGAGATATTCTCTTGTAGAAAGACTGAAGATGATGGGGAAAACGTTTGTTCTAACTAACATAAGTGTTTTAGTCACCTGATTATGGTGAAAGTTTGGAAGGAAACTCCCATCATGACTAAAAAGAGCAATTAAAAACAGTGGACTTGAGAAATTGAATCTATACATAAAGTTCTGTGACTCCTGTAGTTTGTGCATCTGTCTGTCACAACCTCTAAAATAGCCATACATTGACCGATCAAAACTGAATTTTGGGGAAAAGTACAAACATGTAAGTGGGTACAAAGTACAGTTGGTTTTACTAGGATGCATAGCTTAGTACAATAAATTTTCATTAATCTTTTGGGGAAAATTAAAATTTTTATTATTTAATATACAAAATACTCCCATTAACAATTTAATGATTAAAATAACAAATACTTATTTAATAAAAATGCAATATTGTTTTTTGCACATCTTTTTAAATTTTTATATCTACAAGAATCCAGTTACCATTTCCCCCTACATTTGTGAGAACTATAAACAAATCCCAAGGCCAAACCCTTCAAAAAGTTGAAATTTGGCTCCAGAAGGAAATATTTATTGATGGCCAATTGTATATTGCATGCTCAAGAGTAAGAAATCCTAAGAATTCTGTTGTTAAAATGGAAAAAAATAAATTTTCTTAAAAAATATTGTTTACCATGAAGACCTATAAAATTAAATTAAAAAATTATTAGACTGCAAAGTTGGGTTTTTGGCAAAGTATTTTTCCAAACAAATCAGCTTATTCAAATTTCATCCAGTGATTCACAAAATTGAACAAAATGTAGAGTTTCAAAATCTTAACGACAAAATGTTAGCAATAACTTCAATAATACAAAATGCTGTGAAGATTTCAACACATATCAGTGTGTTGCAAAAACAATTCTAGTTTCAGGAAAAAATAAGAAAAGAAAAATGCTTTAAAAAAGATTTTTTTAAAATTTCAACTAACAGTAAGAATAGCTGTTTGACCAATGAATGTTAACTGTTTCCTCTTCCAAATCTTTTTGCACTAATGCAGGTGTCCCCCAGGGCTCTATCCTTGGACCTACTTTGTTCTTAATTTTCATCAATGGTCTTCCTGAGGGCATCATTTCTTGACTTGATGAGGCTGATGACACAACCATTTACTCCTGTCTTGATAATATGTCTGATCAGTTCGATAAGGTCAAATGGGCAGTTGATCTCAAGAATGATCTATGGACAAAGAATGGTTTGTTAATTTTAATGCCTTCAAAATGAAACTTCTCTCTATCAATCACCTGAAATACCCCTTCCTGCCTCTTATCAGCATGGCTGATACTAACCTCACCAGACTTACATTCTCAGCTGACATGAAGTGAAATGATTATATTGAATCCATTGTTAGGTCTGCTGCTAAGAAAGTTGGTTCACTGTGCCATGCAAGACAATTTTTCTCTCTTGAATCTATCTTACATATTTATAAATTCATCATTTGTCCATGCCTTGAATATTGATGCCGCACATAGTCCAAATTAGAGATTCTTGACAAAATCCAAAGAAGAATCTGCAATATTATTGGTCTTGATCTGGCATATCAACACCAGTCACTTTCTCACAGCCATAATGCATCTTTTCTGTGCCTTTTCTATAAATACTTTTATAGTAATTGTTCAGCTGAACTCTTCAATATGGTACCTAGACTTTATAAATTTAAGCACAGTACTAGATTTGCAACAAGGTCTTATCAATTCACAGTTAAATTGGCTAGATATAAATGTAAGTTTTATGTTAACAGTTTCTTTACTCACACTTCTAGCTTGTTAAACATTTTTCCTCACTCCATGTTTTCCAGCCCACTTTGATATTCAAAGATTTAAATGCAATGTCAATCACTATCTACTGTTCTCTTGATTACTCTTCTTCTATTGTTCTTGTTCCTTAATAATGTTTCTCTCTTTTCTTATTCTTTCATTCTCAGTAACCCCTTGTGTCTTAGTGGGAGCCACTGCCTTGCACAGGGTGATGAAATTTCTAAAAAAAATATTGCCATATCTGGCCCAGTTCAAAACAATTTTTTTTTGTGTATTTGATTTCACAATTTGTGATATCCTAGGAAAAGATGCCTCTTTTATGTTATTTACATTTAGACTTTGCTGTTATTAACACAATGTTTTAGCTTTCATGGTCTCCGGCCTTCTTCTGATATTTGATCCAGGTTAACTTCCTGAGAATTTTGAACTGAACTCTTTATTTAATCTATGGGGTTAAATTGTTCTCATTTCACTGACCATATCACAGGATATCTTGCTTTATTCAGTGTTGCTCAGTTATTGCTATTTTTAACTGAGTCAAAATCTGTGCTATCCAGATAAGGGAGTAACATCACTATATCACC